GGAAGGTGAGAAAGCTGGGACCTGCTTCTGGTGCCTCTGGAGTCTTGCTGCCCTGTATGAAGCTCAGAAGTGAAGGCGTGGCGGCTCGGGCGCTGCGTGATGGAGGAGACAGCGTTGTGCCTCCTTGCTCCTGTCGCCATCTGTGGATGGTTCCCTCCCATTCACAGTGTCATCTTCTGCCAGCTCCGGGCACCCGCGTGGGCCCTGGCCCAGGCCACAGCAGCACAGGAGCCTGCAGACCAAGGGAGAAGGGCACTGCATTTCTAGTCAGCAAAACTGGTCCCGGCTACAGCGCAGCAGAGGAGACCAGCACCATGCCCCCCGCACCCCAACAAGAGAAAGAGGGCCTCTCTGAGGCTCCTAGATGAAAATTGAAGCCCATGGAAAAGTGAGGAAAATCTCTGTGATAAAGGTCCACCACAGGCCAGGGATTTGGCTCAGTGGTTCTGCCGCCTGCCTCGATCCCAAGACACACCACACCACCATAGTTGATTGCCTCAGAGTCATTAGAGACTCAAAGCCTAAAGACCAGCTATCTCTGGAAGATCAAAGTATGAACCCAGGAATCAAACCAAGGACAGGACCAACAATAGAAATGAGAAGACATTTCAACAAGGCACAAACACAGACTTCCACCTCACCAAAGGTAAACTCTGGGGGAAATGAGGTGGAAAAGTCTGGTAGTCAGCCATCTGGACACCCTGAACCAGATACACAGGAAGTAGCAAAGCAGAAAAGCAATAATTTCCCAGATAACCACAGAGTTGGTGAGAAGAATGAAAGACATGATTAGAGACTCTAGAACAGAAACAGATTGGAAAAAAAAAAAAATTGTCCCGGCTTGGCTCTACTGAGAACTCTCCATGTGGCAAGGATATAGTGATACAAAAATTAATGTAAAGGCAACAATTTTATTTCCTGCAAAAAACAACAACAACAAAAAAACCAACAACAAAAAAAACCCAAGTGATGGTTTATCCCAAAAGTGTTTCTTTTCATCAATTCTGGTGCCAGGATGTGAGGCCCAGAACGCTCGGCCCACCATCAAAGATGGACCTGGGAAGACGGGTGCTGAGTGAACCAGGGAGCTTTCAGTGCCATGACCTCGTTCTCTGGTTTCCTCGGTGGCTGGCTTTGGTCACTTTGGGCCTTGCTGACATCTGGCCTCTGGCTCATGAACCTGTGAATTCTCTCTTTCCAAGGTCAACCCAGTTTCCTGTAACATTTATATGTTATTTCCCCACAACGAGCAGAGGCAACAGTCTCCTCTGGCCTGACCCAGATTCTGGGGAGGAGCTGGTGAAGAAGCCATCTGACAGATGTGTCTAATGCCAAGACATCAGACTCCTAAGCCACTTTGATTAGCTACACGAAGGGAGACAGTATTTGAAACCTGAATTGTGCTGGAAATGTGCAGCCTAGGACAGTGAAACCAGTTTCCAGGGAATTTGCAAACTGTCATTGGGACAAGATGCCAACCCCTAAAAAGATCCCCACTGAAACTAAAACAGCCAGGCGTGGTGGTGCACGCCTATAATCCCAGCACTCGGGAGGCTGAGACAGGAGGATCGCTGTGAGTTTGAGATCAGCCTGGGCTACATAGTGAGTTCCAGGTCAGTCTCAACTACATAGTGAGACCCTGTCTCAAAATAAAAAAAAAAAAAAAAAAAAAAAAAAAAGAAAGAAACTAAACGCCAGACAAATGTTGGACAGGGCAGTAATTCAGCACAGGGTGAAAGGCTGGCCTAGGGCTTGTGGTGGAAGGCCAGGCTGAGGCTGTGGCTTCAGGCGAGCAGGTGACTGAAACTGTTGGAAGGTGCTTGTGAGGCGTCCAGGAGCTCAGGGCATGAGCCAAGGGCACCAGGCCCACAGGCATGTGTGAGGTAGGGACCACATTACAGGGCAAACCTAGGGATCGCAGGCAGCGTGGGCAGGGGTCTGGGGAACAGAGCTGCTGTGATATTTAGAGAGGAGAGTGACCCCTAAAGTGGCAAAAACCTAAAAAAGGTAGATAGGGCTAATTTAGGAGAGATTAGATAGAGCTCTTGAAGACACTGGTGTAGGCAAAGACTTCATGAACAAAACCCGGATTGCACAGGAAATATCACAGAGAATCAACAGCTAGGATCTCATCTTATGAAAAAGCTTTTGTACAGCAGAAGAAACCACCCACTGAGTGAAGAGACAGCCCACAGAGTGGGAAAATATTTTTACCAGCTGTTTCTCAGATGAAGGACTAATATCTAGAATATATAAAGAACTCAAAAAAATCAGACCCCCAAATTTAAAGACCCAGTCCGAAAATGGGCATCTGGAATGAACAGACATCTCTCAGAAAAAGAAGTAGAAACAGCAAATAGATGCATGAAAAAATGTTTACATCACTGGTCATCTGAGACATGCAAAGGAAAACAACACTGAGATTCTATCTCATTCCAGAAAGAATGGCTGTTATCAAGAAATCAACCAATAACAAACACTGGAGGGGCTGTGGGCAAAAGGAATCCTTCTCCTTGTCGGTGGGAGTGCAGACTGGTGCAAGCACTGTGGAAATTCATCAAAAAACTAAAACTAGAGGCCTAATTTGCCCAGTTCTTCCCCTCCTTTTACCTTTCTGGAAAGAATTAAAAGCATCATATCACAGCAATATATGCACACCCATGTTTAGCAGCACAATTTGTAATAGCTAAGTTCTGGAAACAGCCCAAATGTTCATCAACCAATGAATGGATAAGGATGGATTTTTTTATACAATGGAGTACTACTGTGCCATAAAGAAGGATACACTTGAAACATTTCTAGATAAAAGGTGGACCTTGAGACCACATTCTCAAGTGAAATAAATAGGACACACGTTTAAAATATCTCATTGTTTTTCTAGTATGAGAAGTGTAAATAAGGACCAAAGGCATAAAGACCAAAACGTACATTAGATATTGGGAAATGGGAAGAAAATGTTCAAACGGGAAAGGGAAAAAGGGAGGAGGGGAGGAAGGAAGGGAAAAGAAAAAGGAATAGAAAGAAAAATGGAAACAAAGCTTTTATAAATAAGGAAGCAAGAATAGCAGAGAGAGGGGAAGGGAATGGAAAAAAGAAGCAGCAAGATATAGCATGCACAGGTACAGATCCCCTATGATGAATGTGGTCGTTCTGTACATCTAAAGTGTACCATTAAAATTTTAAATAAAAATAAATTATGAGCAATCTCACTATTGGGGAAAGGAGCCCACTGTGGTCACCTAGACTTGAAGAGGCCACGGTGTGGGGCCTGGGTCGAAAGAGGGAAGCACAAGGGAGGCCCAAGAGTGGCCCCGAATTCTCAGGGTGCAGGGACTGGGACAATGGGGGTGTCGCTGGCAGAAATGGAGCTCAGGGAGCTGGCTCTGGGAGACACAGCGTGGCAGCCAGCTTTTTGTTACCACGACCAAAATACCTGAGAAAATCGGCTCAGCGGAGGAAGAGCGTATTTTGGCTCACAGTTTTAGAGAAAAGCTGCGCATCTTGTGACCAGGAAGGAGACATGGGGTGAGGTGGGCGGATGAGAGGATGAGGCAGGAGGGTGGCAAGTCTGAGGCCCAGATTGGGCAACTTAAAATAAAAAAGAAAAAGGACTTGGGGTATGGCTCCGTGGAAAAGTGCTTCTGAGCTCACTCCCCAGTGCCACCAAAAACAACAAATCGGAGAGAAAGGGTAGGAGATCAGATATAGGGCAGGGAAGGAACCAGAGTTGTCACAGGACCAGGACGGGAGAGAAGGCAGAGAAGCCGTGGGTGTTCAAGGATAAGGCCCAAAAGCTGCTTCCAAAATGTAGCCGGAATCAGGTGTGGTGGTACATGCCTGTAATCCCAGCATTTGGGAGGCTGAGGCAGGAGGGTCACTGTGAGTCTGAGACCAGCTTGGGCTACTTAGTGAGTTCCAGGTCAGTCTCAACTACATATTGAGACCCTGTCTCAAAAAAACAAAGCAAAACAAAAAATGTAGCTGGAAAACCCGGCGTGAGACCCTGTCCCAAGGGAGTGGGGGTGGGGTGGGACTCAGGCTATATAGCTCAACACAAAGGTCCTGGGTTCAATTCCCAGTACTGCACAAAACCAAACAAATAGACAAAAGGCAGAAGCCCAGATCACAAGGAAAACAAGAATTTACACAGGCCGGGGGATTTGATGAACAACTACAGACCTAAGTGTGCCAGACCGGGGCTGGCTCTGGGACTGGGTTAGAAGTTGGCCCGAGGCCCAGGCCAGGCCCTGGGGCCGTGTTCTCTCCCCCTGGGCCCAGCAGAGTTTGGGCTGGAACTCGGAAGACAAAGAGGAAGGAAGAGGGACCGGGAAGGGGGAGCGGAGTGTATCGTTCAGGGCTGACTGCTAGGTTCAAAAATTTGGCATTTAAAGGAAAGTGAGATCTGGGAAAATAACCCGGGGGCAGAAGTCTGGCCGCACTCCCCTCACCGAAGCACTGAGAAAGAGTTGGATTTTTCAGGCAACAAAAAGGAACTGCTTAAGAGCAAGGACCTTCAGGGGCGCGGTAGCGTTGTGGGAGTAAACAGTGCGTTCCCCACTATTGAAGGCTCAAGAGGAACCCATTCTGTTTAGCTTTAAAAAAAAAAAAAAAACAAACACCAGCAAAGCAGAAACACGGGGACAAAGCGTCGGGGTGAGTGGTTTTGACGGGCTGCGGCTGGAAACCGGCGTGGGAGTCGGAGAGACCGCTAGGGAGAGGCGGCATCAGGGAAGGCTCCCTGGAGGAGGCGGCGCTGGTCTCAAACTCACAGCGCGGGAGTGCCGTCTGGCCAGACTAATAAAGGCCTCAAAGCCCAGCGCAGATTCCCAGCACTGACGTCAGCCGGCGATGACCTCAGCGCGGGGGAGGCGGGGCGGGGCTGGCGGCTTGTGCCCGCCCCCATCCGCTGGCCGTGGCCAATGGGCGCCGCCGCCGGCTGCCCCGCCTCCGCGAACTGTATGAAAAGCCCGGCGGGGGAAAGCCCGGGCAGATCCCGGGGAAGCGGCGGGGCGAGTGCACCTCTGAAAGCAGTGTCACCCCACGGCAGACCGCTCCCCGCTCAGAGCCGCGAGCGACATGAACCACGGGAAGAGAGCAGACATGTTTCCGGAGATCGCCGCCGCCGTGGGCTTCCTCTCCAGCCTCCTGAGGACCCGGGGCTGCGTGAGCGAACAGCGGCTTAAGGTTTTCAGCGGGGCGCTCCAGGAGGCACTAACAGGTGGGCGCGCACCAGGGGCCTGGCACTGCCGGCCCTCGTCCCCTCTCTGCCTGGGGCGTCTTCTCCCCTCCTCCTGGGCCTTCCACGCGAGGTGTTCCGGACTAGGTTCCCTCCTCCGACTCCCGGGTTAGGGTTAGATCACCCTCCCCGGCCCGGAGCTAGGTCGAGTCTCGGTACGTGGTGGTTCCGATGGAGCGCGTCCCTCTGCTCTCCACGGGACACAGACCCTCCCTTGTGTACGTTCCCTAGCCCCAGTGTGGACTCCAGGAGAGGGTGTGTCTACGGTCAGAGTGGAGTGCCGGATCGAGTTCCTCTGCGGACCTTTGTCACCTCAAGACCCTCGCGGGGTGCCACAGGCTTCCCAGCGGCCGGGGAGCTGTACGAGCCCCTCCCTGAGCCTTCTGAGCAACTTGGAGGCCCTGCCGTGGTTCTCCCGGCTGTGCGGGCTTGTGCTGCGGCCCACCATTCTCCCAGCTGTCCCAGCTCTAATCTGGAATCCCGACCCGCTTTGTAGTTCTTTTTGGTCCCTGTTCGCCATCTGCCACCTATTGTGGCATGGAAGACAGCCTGTAGCCAGTAACTGCTGGGGGCCTGTGTGTGTGTTGGGGAGGTGGGGCGAGAGTCGGGAGGTTGACCAGAGATAAGCAGCAGGCAGGCTGGCTGGAGAGAGACCTATCTCCCAGCTGTTCCTAGGCTGTCTGCAGCCTAGAGCTTCGATAGCCATCTCTGAGCCTGCAGGCCTGTGGAGCAACAGCTGTTTCATCAAAACAACCCATTTCTTGTCCATTAGCCACTGCTAAGGATCTTGGGCTCTTCTAAAGGTGGCAGGGGGCCCACTGGGGACAGGGTGGATGACTTGCTGTGGACCCATCAGCTCAGGAGTACCCAGAGGCCCTGCCTGGACTTGCCAGCTGCAGGTCACACACCCTCCTTTCTTAAACTGGGGGATGGGCCAAGAGCAGTAGCTTGGCCACTGGAGAGTCCCTCAGAGCCCAGACCCATTTCCAAAATACACACACACACACACACACACACACCCTGGCCTGGGAGGGGCCAAGGAGTCTCTCCAGCTCCCGTAAAAAAGTGGCGAGAGGGTTTTAGAAGGCTGCTGAGACCCAGCAGGAACTCCTACCTCCCTTAAAATCGTTGGGCCCCTCCTCTCCTCCTCAGCCTTCACCCTCATTCTAACGCAGTCATATCCGTGGTCTGGCTCCTCTAACCAGGCCCCATTGTCCTCCCTCCACAGAGCACTACAGACACCACTGGTTTCCCGAAAAGCCGTCCAAGGGCTCTGGCTACCGCTGCATCCGCATCAACCACAAGATGGACCCCATCATAAGCAAGGTGGCCAGCCAGATTGGACTCAGCCAACCCCAGCTGCATCAGCTGCTGCCCAGCGAGCTGACCCTGTGGGTGGACCCTTATGAGGTGTCCTACCGCATCGGAGAGGATGGCTCCATCTGTGTCCTGTACGAGGAGACCCCAGTGGCCACTTCCTGTGGGCTCCTCACCTGCAAGAACCAAATGATGCTGGGCCGGAGCAGCCCCTCGAAGAACTACGTGATGGCCGTTTCCAGCTAGACCCCCGTGCCCACCCTGTACTCTACTGTACTCATCCTGCCATGACAACAGGCCACTGTATACCTCAACCTGGGGACATGTGTTTTTAAATGAAGAGCTAT